CCATATTTGATGTAAACAGTAAAGTTGTGGAAGACAGTAGACGAAAGTTGCGGATCAGAGACAAAAATATTGATCTTCTTTGCTTATTGTTGGTGTCATTATATAAGGTTTGAAAAGTGTAGAATTTATCGGAATAATTATAACCATGAGTATATTTATTCATATAGGATTATTGCAGAGTATTTCAGCGCAGCGATTATACTGCGCAGTTTATAAAGTCGCTCGAAAAAGAACAGGTTACTGCTACGTTTTAGTAGTGTTAAAAGAGGTTATAAAATATTATCTATTTATTAAACATACGTAGAAGAAGAAAACTTTATAGTTTGTGTACAATATTACGCAACGTAAATAAGTGCAAATCCTGTATCTAGTTCCACCAGTCGTTTCAGAACGTTAATAAAGGATCCGGATAATTTATTATTAATAAAGGTAGCAGTACAACTTGTTTATTTATAAAATTTTGCAGAAAAAAACCTCCTACACATAACATACATATGCATGTGATTTTGTGTCGATTTTGGAAAGGAATATCACTACAAGGTTCCTGGCAATTTGCAAAAATAAAGAGTAGCAAAATGTAATTTATAATACATGTTGTTAATTGTTGTTTTATGTATTTTATAAAATCAAGAGTCAAATCTACAAAAAAAAAAAAAAAATATTTAATACCATAAATAGCAAACTTAGCTAATAAACATTTTTTTAAAAATAAAATTGAAGAGTTCCAACTTTTTGATTGGTTAACTATAAACAGCAAATTAGCATATTTTACAGGGGTATTTCAGCTAGTTTGCCGTCGGGTGATAAGTGAAAATGAGATCACCCAAGGGTTTATGATGATGTGGCCCACGAAAAATGTCACATTTAAAATGAAATAGATACATAATTTTAAAACATATATTTTTTTAGTTTGCTATTTATTGTATTAAATATTCTGACGCTTGTGAAAACATGTGAAGTTTGAATTAGAACAATTGAAGTCAATTGTACGTCACTGACATAAATACCAGTCAGATATTACATGTTTGTAGGAGTACCTCTTTCTAACTCCAAAATGAGTTGAGGAGTGGATTTTTTAACTATGTGTATGTGTACTACAGAACGAGTTTTTGGCATTGCCATACATACATACTTAATGTGAACTATAATTCGTTGTTTGCCATCGTGACTCCCTAAGCAACCAATCAAATGACACACACATATTTAATCACGTACAATTTTTCAGCGAGTTTGCCCACAGAATTTTCAAAATTTTCTGGCCAACCCATTGTTGAAAACCCACACGTGATGTTGTCTTTACATGTTACCTGTGGACAGACTTGCTGAAAAATTGTATGTAATTAAATATGTGTTGGTCATTAATGAGTCGCCATGACAAACAACAAATTTCAATTCAATTACGTAGTTTCGGCAATGCCAAAAACTTGTTATATAGTACACACAGTTACATTTGTGACTGATTTATTTCAAGTACATGTAGTAAGATACCATGAACTCTTAAAAAGGCATCAGTTTTCATCTTTGTACGACGTACTAACGCCCTTGTCCGCCATATTTCTTCAATTCCGCCATATTTATCGGTGGCCATACCTGCTATATATAGCCTTGAAGAATTGTTTCACTTGAGTGAGCCTGGCTGTCAACATTACACATCTACAGTTTTTAGAAGTCCATAAACTGAATAAACTGACCAATACCACAATAGAACTAAGAATTAAATTATTTTTGAATGCATTTGCTGCAATGAAAATACACTAAACGGGTGTGCAAAAATCCATTTAAAACATTTACCTGAATAACTGCTATCGTCAGGGATGTGCACATGTCGAAAGAATTATAATTGGTCACTCAGTAAATTGCTAACTCAACAGTAAAAGATGCTTGGAACATATCATTTTATTTCAGGGTGAAAGTCAGTAAAATGCAAGTGATTTTTTCAAAACTAAACATTACTCTTGTCTTAAATGTTGCAAATAAATTTATGATTACATGGTTTAACTTCATTAAATTTATAATAAAGCATGCATTATTACGAATCATTCACCTTTTGAAGATATTTTCCTGTGATAGGAGGGGGGGGGGGGTGTAATAAAACATGCATATTAAACCTTAAAAATAATTTAAGGAAAGTCATTGGCTTTATTAGACCTAATATAATTTGATTTAAAGTTATTTATAATTTTATGTACAATGAATGAAAACATACCCCACGCTCCCCCAAAAGTCGAAGTGCTGAAATTCCCAGAAAAAAAATAAATTAAGGAATCGTAATTTTCTTGTTATATCCTATCACATATTCTGCAAAGTTTGACGAAATTGTGTGCAGCGGTTTATGAGGAATTGCGCTGACATGCTCATCTTTATATTCAAGAATGGCCAAAATCTAAATGTAAAAGTGCGGAAATTCCCGAAAAAATAAAGAATTCGGAATTTCCTGGTGATGTGTCTGACAAACATTGACTCCTATAAATATTTCGAAAGTACGACAAAACTCTGTCAGTGGTTTATAAGAAGTTGCGCTGACCAGATTTAATGTAAATTAAATTAATAGTTTTTTTTTTTTTTTTTTTTTACAAATTTTTTTCCATTTTTTTTTTTTTTTTTTTTCCCCCCCCCCCCCCCCCCCCACACACACACACTTTCCACAGACACACAAGAGGAAATTGTTTGGAGAAAAATTTTGTTACTGAAGTTGAACCTACCTCCCCCCTTTCCCTACACGAAATATGATATTCGTGTGTTGGAAAAGGACATTTCCCCATCAGATTTTTTGAACGTATAAAAAAAAAATTTTTACTTAGCCCCCCCCCCCCACACACACACACACTTTCAATTTGCTTCCGATGCCAATGCGTTTGAGAAGGTATTTGAGAAAGTTCCCAATGTACCCATTCCTGTGATGTATATTTCACGTTTAAATCCCCCGATTTTGAAAAGTGGGAGGGTATATAGTTATAGTTATGTCCGTCCGTCGGTCTGTTACGCTTTGGGGTACCCATCTCTTATCCGCAAATCCTCTTATACCACTTAGTGACTAAAACACACATTGTGCACTATTTTACTTTTTGATCCGACACGTATTTTGGGTTTAGCGACAACAGCAAAATATGGACTTTGCCATTATAACCATATGGGTGGCATCATTTAGTGAGCTCATTGCTCACAATACCTCTAGTTTCTCTTTCAATTTGGCCGTTTGGGTTAATTCTGTCCAAATTTAAATTATTATTCAATTTATGGTTTCGACATCCCGCCTGCAAAAAAAAATTGTCCAGGCTTAATAAATTACAGCAAAGTGCGTAGGGTCTTATACCTATTATTGCCCTAAGGGATGGTTACAGAGTGAGAGAGATGGAGAGAGAGAGAGAGTTAGTTCAATATACAAAAGAGTAAATAAAAATTTCCGTATTCAACCAGTGTCAAGAATCCCTACCCTATAGCTTTTAAAATTATCTCCCAAATTCCTACAGAAATTATTTTTATACAAAAAAAAACTAAAAGACTATCAGGCAGGGATACTGAAATCTCGATGAATCTCTATAACAACATAATTATAAAACATTTATACATTCCTCAAAATGCACATAGGAGTGTGACATTTAAAAAAAATTCAAAATTGAATTCGGCTTGTCTTCCAAGAATATTTATTTAACGGTCATGTCAAATTTTTGCACGCCCCCCCCCCCCCCGCCTAAAAATCAAATGCCTAGATGTCAATCTGAACAGGGGATGGCATTTCTTCCTGTGTTTGTCTGTTGAATAACGTAATGTACACATAAAAAAAATTGTGTTAACTGCTTTTAAGATTTGAAGTAAATAATTGCATCAAATTACTTGGTTTAGATTTGTAGTACTAAAATAATCAGTTTCATTGACAAATGAATTTTGCGACGCAAACCAACTGCAGACTATATACATGACTTTGTATAGAATGTATATTAGAACTACATTTAGATAGACAATTCACAATTATAGCTTATGAACAGCAGTTATAATACACCCCCCCTTCAGCCGTGCAAATACCAAATAACTTATCTTTCCACTTGTGATATTTTCCCTGACCAAAATCTGATCAGCAATAAAAAATCTTCGGAGTAATGACAGTGTGTACTTTTGAGCTTTTACGGAGTTTATTTCTTTTTTGTGATGCATATTTCAATAAATGGAATTAGGGTGTATATCACTTACTTGTTTGAACGGATGCAGTAACCTTATTACCAGGTATGGGTACGTTTATTTCTCGATATGCACTAATTGCATAGTTCAAAGATTGGTTGTTGTTCCATTCAAATGATATAATTTCAAAATGTGTCTGCAGATTTTACTGCTTTTTATTTCAAGTTTATTCTGCAAAAATTGGCGCCCTGAAAAAAAACGTATGCGTGACGTGCATCTAAATTTCTCACCAAACTTGCATTTTTTCTTTTGATTCAAATCAATAATTATTCAGAAATATGATTATTATGTTGTTTATTGTGGTTTTGAAATGTCTTGATCTCCTCATGTGTTCTCATATGCTTTACCATCGGAGATGTGCACAATGATACCCAAACCAAAAAATCATTCAACTGTAACGAGCGCTTTTGGGTATATATCGTTACACACATCTGAAAGAAATATGGCGGAATACGGCTAAACAAATTGTACAAGGATGTAAATGTTGCTTTTTTAAAGAATTCATGTCAGCTTTAAGTTTGAGATCCATGAAGTTTTTTTTTTTTTTTTTTGAAAACTCTACGGTATAAATTGAATGTGTTGATAACGTCAATCGCTTATGACTTCACTATGAAATTATGTAGATCTCTTATGAATAAACAATCAATTTATGGTCACATGATGAACATATTTTACAGAGATGTTAAAACATCTTGTTCAAATAGTGTTATATAAGGGAAAACATTTGCAAATGTAAATATTTTCGCATGCAAGTAGACTACACTGAGATACATAATTATCAGTTATGTGTTTTTATGCGCCGTCTTAAGGGTCCTCCACACCATGTGACTTGTGACATATATAGAGAAAAAATTCTTTTATTCCAGTTTTATTTAGTTTTTGCATCGGAAAATTGCCTGGAAACTGCTTGTAAGAGAGTCATTGAAAGAGAACATATGCAGGACACTCATAACAATGAACACATGGCATGGTCACGGAGTGACGGATAATAAAAGATGTCCTTTTTTTCTATTAAAGACAGACAAACAACTGGGTTTATGTTACATAATAATTTGTAAACAACGAGTGCCGGTATGACGAGAACTTACAGGTTATTTATACTTTCAGGTTAATCAACCCACTGACATATGATCGTCAACAGTGTCTGTGTTGAAAGTTGTTATTTTTGCACTCTAATTTGTGTGTTTCAATAATACATTATCTCATTGTGTTTATAGATATTAATGAAATAGTGTGCGTTTCTTGTTTTCCTCTTTTACATGTATTTCTGTCTAGTTCAGTAGTCAATCATGAGTAACTATTGTGGAGACTTGCCAAAGTTTTTGAGTCCTGGGCAACAGGAGAGATAAATCCAAAAAGGAACTTTGATACCAATGATTTTGCAAATATTTTTTCTACATTAGTGCATTTAATTTAATTTAATTATTTGGTGTAATCTAATTCATTGATGTTTCTTATATACAAATTGAGTCTTCCTTTATTTTTTGCCCCCCTTTCGATGAAGGGAGGTCATATTGCTTTGCTGCCGTGTGTCTGTTGGTTCACTTAGTTTCCGTTCATTTTCTTTGCAACCGTTGCACCTACTCAAATGAAATTTTGTATACAGATATATCACATGAATATCTAGGTCAAGTTCTATTTTGGGTATGATCGCACCATTTTTGACAGAGTTATACCCCTTGGACTTTGAAAAATTTCAATTATTTGCAGTTTCCATTTATTTTCTTAGCAACCGTTGCACATACTGAAATGAAATTTAGCGTACTGATTTATCAGAGGTATATCTAGATCATTTTCTGTTTTGGGTACCACCGCACCATTTTTGACAGAGTTGTGCCCTTTTGGACTTAGAAATTAAAAAGTTCCAATTTGGGATGATGGGGGCATAAGTGTTTTACAAACATCTCTTGTTCTCTAGATGTATTTGAGAGAAAATGAGCTTTATTAATTTTTGACCCCCGCTTGAAAAGTGGGGGATATTAATTTGGGTGTGTCCGTCTGTCCGTCCGTCCGTCTTTCTGTCTGTAACACTTTCGTTTCCACACGATATCTCGAGAACCCTTTGAGCTTTTGCAATGAAATTTGGCATAGCAACTCCCTATGGACTAAAGAAGAACCCTATTGATATTGAGGTCAAAAGGTCAAAGGTCAAGGTCATAAATAAGCAAATTCTGTCTGTTCTGTTATAACACTTTCGTTTCCACACGATATCTCTAGAACCATTTGAGCTATTGCAATGAAATTTTACATAACAATTTCCTGTGGCCTAAGGAAGACCCCTATTGATTTTGAGGTCAAAAGGTCAAAGTTCAAGGTCGTAAATTTATACATTGTGTCTGTGTGTAACACTATCATTTCCGGGCAATATTTCAAGAAGATTTTTAGCTTATGCAATGTAATTTTATACCAAAACTCCCTAGGACCTCTCTCACCCCTCTCAAAGTGCCCCGCCCCGTTTGTTTTATTAGTATTTATAGTATTACATGTCGCTATTTTTAGCACAGGGGCATGCGGAGAGTTATTGCGTATAAAACAGGATCTCGGCGGACTTTATGTTCTTATTGCATCTTTTAGAACTGTTTGATAAAGGCTAAATAAATCAAACACCATGGATTGTGTAAAATTTTGACAATATCGAACATGAATATAAACATGTATGTGACTTCACTTCTGCATATACTTAACTTCATTCAAAGCGACTCCGTGGTCTAGTGGTATGTCTCCCGCTTCATGTGTGAGAGGTCTCGGGATCGAATCTCGGACGATCCTTTTTTTTTTTTTTAAACTTTTCTTTCTTCTTTTAAATGATAGTATTCAGTATGTGAAAAGAAAAATTTATGAAGTAATAAAATCATAATTACAGTGTGATAAATATTCCATATAAAAAGAATCTTCTATACACATAATAAAGAATAAGCAATCAAATCTTTATACGCATATTGACAATCATGTATTTTATTTGCTTGAGTATACATGTATTCATTTAATAATTCTACAAATTCAGTCAGGGAGATCGGACTTTTTCCCTAAGCGGGGGACACGAATTCTCTGAATTAGCTTGTTTATAAATTAAATTAATTTCTCTAAAAAATATGTTGATCGATTAAATTAGATTTTTATGGATATTCTGTGAGCATAAAAATAGACGATAGGGTAAGATAACATTTTTGGTGCAGCTACATATTAAAATCTTGGGAAAAATATTTTGAAAGTTGTGAAATTATTATTTTAAAAATTCTTTATAAATTACATTTTAATCCCTGGTCAGTTTGTAAAGGTTGATATGCTTGTTAAAAGTAATGCTCAATTATATGAGAACATAAGCTGTATGTGTTTGGAAAACCCTTAAGATGGGACGTATTATGTTATAGGCTTCATGTCCGTCCATCTGTCCATTTGTGTCCGGCTCATAACAGCACTTCAATACTTTCAGGCCTAGGATTATCAAACTTGGTCAACTGATAATTCTTGGGTAGATGATGTGTCTTGCGCAAAAAGTAGGTCGCTCTGGCCTTTAATAAAGATGCTATGGCCAAATATGGAAAAATCCTGTTCGGCTCATAACTAGAAAACTTACATAAATGTAATAATATATATGGTACATATAATTTCTGAAAATGTGTGAAACATCTTAGAGGTAAGTTTTATGTGAAAATGGTTTACCAATTACATGTAACTTGCATCCCTTTTTAAATGATTGTATATTGTTTAACGTCCCTCGAGAATTTTTCACTCATGTGAAGATGCCACCACTTGGCGGTGGAGAGCTGCTGATTTTGTCCTTAACTTGGCACTCGGGACCATTGAGCAGGAAGAGATCTTTTTTGTGCCAGAACCTACTGCTATTTATTTTTGAAAGTGTCATCGGTGATGGCAGAATTATTAATTTAAGAATGAGTGTATGTATCAAGTATAGGCAAGTCTAATTAATCTTGTATAGTATAGATTATAACATTCTTGTATTTTTTGTAGATCACAGAATGCCTAGGAAGAAGACTTGGAAGAAAGCTGCGGTGAAGAAGATGAAATCATCTAAGGCAGATGTGGGTGACAAGTACCCCACAGATGTTGGCCACGTCCAACCATCTGTGCCTCTGGGTGTAGGCCACGTCCTAACACCTATGACATCTGTACCGGCAGGGGTGATCTCTACCACCCCTGTGACAGTGGTCTCTGCGGCTCTCCCTGAGACCACTTTGAAACAGAATTTATCTCAGATTTTTACTCAGAATTCATCTCAGTTGCTTACTCAGAATTTCTCTCAGATTACAACTCAGAATATTACTCAGTTTACAATGAACAATATTCCAAAAGAAACATCACATGCACTACAGGGTAATTGTATGCACCAGAATTCAGATAATCTGGTGTTTGGGTCTTTCCACCAGGGAAGTATGAGGTTTTCATCATTTTCAAGAGGTAATCAGTGTACATGCAATTCACTTATGATGTTGTCAAATTCATATGAAAATTTTTCATTTACTAGTTCCTTTTTAGATCAGACTCTGCTCAAGGGAGATAATTTGTACAACACAGTTGTGAAGAATCTTCAGAGTGCTGGAAAACTGAAAAGTAGATTACTGATGTTTGATGAACTACCAATTCATATTGATTCTGGTGAAAATCACCACATGGTTGACAAGTTTGATACATTGTTTGGTTTATTAGTTACAGATGATAACAAAAATCATATTCAAACTCTACATGAATGTCTGCAACAGGCATTGGGATTATCTAGATATATATTGATAATGATTGGCTCAATATGTTCAGCACTGTACAAAGCTTCAGACAATGATTTTTATTTTTTTGACTCGCATTCTCATGGGGAAAATGGTTTGTCTGATTGTGATGGAAAGTCTTTGATGAGACACAGTTGCTGCCTAGATGATTTGGTAGGGTTTCTGTATGCAATGTATGAAAGTATGCACATTGAATTTGCAACTGAATTTGAGGTGATGCCTGTTGCCTTTCATACACTTATTCATAGCTTCCCTAGCAATAATCAAAGTGTACATCAATATTGTAGATTAGATCAGTCAACAACCACTTTCACAAACAAACAATCTGTTGGTAGTAGTACTGGTCATTTAAAAACAACAGAGATAAGGAAAGATAAAAAGGATTACATGAGAGAATATATGAGAAACAAAAGACAAGATCCACAGTTTAAAGACAAGGAAAGGGACAGCAAGAGAAACAAAAGACAAGATCCAGAGTTTAAGGACAAGGAAAGAGACAGTATGAGAAATAAGCGACAAGATTCGGAGTATAAAGGAAAAGAAAGAGACAGTAAGAGAGACAAGAGACAAGATTCCGAGTTTAAAGAAAAAGAAAGAGACAGCAAGAGAAACAAAAGGCAAGATCCAGAGTTTAAAGACAAGGAAAGAGACAGTATGAGAAATAAGCGACAAGATTCGGAGTATAAAGAAAAAGAAAGAGACAGCAAGAGAAACAAAAGGCAAGATCCAGAGTTTAAAGACAAGGAAAGAGACAGTATGAGAAACAAGCGACAAGATCCAGAGTATAAAGGAAAAGAAAGAGACAGCAAGAGAAACAAGAGAAAAGATCCAGAGTTTAAAGGAAAAGAAAGGGACATCAAGAGAAACAAGAGACTAGATCCAGAGTTTAAAGACAAGGAAAGAGACAGTATGAGAAGCAAGCGACAAGATACAGATTACAAAGGAAAAGAAAGGGACAGCAAGAGAAACAAGAGAAAAGATCCAGAGTTTAAAGACAAGGAAAGAGACGGTATGAGAAACAAACGGCAAGATCCAGAGTATAAAGACAAGGAAAGAGACGGTATGAGAAACAAACGGCAAGATCCAGAGTTTAAAAACAAGGAAAGGGCCAGTAAGAGAATTAAAAGGCAAGAAGAAGAGTACAGGCATGATGAGCAAATAAGAGATTTCATGAAGAAAAAGGAAGTGAGACAAAATCCTAACCAGTTAGAAAAAGAGAGATTGAAGATGAAAGAAAAGAGAAGAAATGAAGAATATAGAATATCGGAAAATATTTCTGCAAAAGAATCAAAGGCACACTCACGTAAGAATTTGGATTATATTGAAACTGAAAAACAAAGACACAGAAAAAGTAAATATGGAGTTGATGCAGTGGAGTGTGTTGACAATTTTCACAACAATGTAAGATTGGGTCCTGTGTTTGTATGCACATGTTGCCAACAGACATGGTTTCATGAAAGTGTTTCAAATGTCAATAATGTTTTGTTGGATGCTGAAATCAAAAGGAAATATCTTACGAATACAAAGTCCGTAAATGGGCAGGAATGGATTTGCAACACCTGCAATTCAAACTTGAAAGAAGGTCAGACTCCAAAACTCTCTTTTGCAAATGGAATGACATGGATACAAAAACCAAGTGAATTAAATTTGTTACCATTGGAAGAAAGACTTGTATCCTTAAGAATTCCTTTCATGCAGATAAGAGAATTACCAAGAGGAGGGCAGTACTCTGTAAAAGGAAATGTTGTAAATGTGCCAGTTGACATACAGCCAACAATCAATAGCCTTCCTAGGAGACTTGATGAAAATATCACAATACCTGTCAAGCTAAAAAGAAAACTATCTTTTCAGCACTCTTATTCTCATGAAAATATCCGACCTACCAAGGTTTTGATTGCTTTACATTGGTTAATGAAAAACAGTGAATATTATCAGAATTCAAATATAAACATAGATGACAACTGGTTTCATGAAGTTACCAATTCAGCAAGCGAATTAATGAGAGAGTTTATAGAGGGCCACACCAAACAGGATTCAACATTGCGTGACCAATCAGATGAATCAGACACGGACGAATTCTGTGAAGTTGATGGTAGTGGTAAGGATGGAAATTGTGATACACTACTAGACAGTGACTCATTTGATATGAATCAGATCTTCACATTTGCTCCAGGAGAGGGACAACGTCCAATTAGTTTGTATCAAGATCAAATGGCTGAATATTTGTCATTTCCAACAATATTTTGTGGTAAAGGAAGAGTAGAAAACAATCAGCGTCAAGTACCCGTTTCATATGCTGATATTGCCAAGTGGGAATTAAGAAGTGTTGATAGACGTGCTGCACAGTCTGTACCAAATTTGTTTTTCAAATTGAAAAAGATTCAACTAAAACAGGTAACAGACAAATGCAATTTAGCCCTTAGAAAATGCAAAACAAAGGGGAAAACCTTTACTGCAAATGAAGTAAGAAATCCTGATCAAATTAACAACATAGTCAGACACAATGAGGGATTTTATGTATTCAAACAGTTGAGAAATTCTCCTCCTTATCTTGAAACAAGGAAGAAAGATGTTTTTGCAATGATACGACAACTTGGTCTACCAACTTGGTTTATGTCCTTTTCTGCTGCAGATACACGATGGAATGATCTGATAAGGGCACTGGGAGTTTTAAACGATGGCAGAGAGTATACAGATTCTGAAATCGAGAGCATGACATGGACTGAAAAATCAAAGTTAGTTCAGAAAGACCCAATTACATGTACAAGGTATTTTGATCATCGTTTTCGTACTTTTTTGAATACTGTGCTTAAGAGTGATCATCATCCTATTGGCAAGGTACAGGACTTCTTCTATAGGGTTGAATTTCAACAAAGGGGATCACCACATGTTCACATGATTGTTTGGATTGAAAATGCCCCAAAATACTTGGAAAATGATGAAAAGGAAATTGTTGCATTTGTTGATAGCTACTTAAAATGTGAAAGAAATACAGAAGACAAGATGATAGAATTACAGGTGCATAAACACTCGCAAACATGCAAAAAAAAGGGAAAGGCTGTTTGTAGATTTGGATTTCCACTTCCACCACTCCAAACTACAATGATATTAGAACCTTTAGACTGTGAAATTGAGAAATACAAGAAGATGTATAAAGCTATGCAGGACAAAATGAATGAATTAAAAAATGGATGTGATGAAAGCTTCAGTTTTCAAGAGTTCTTGCAGGATGTAGTACAGCTATCTGAAGATGATTATATCAAATGCATCAGAAGTTCCTTGAGAGGACCCAAAGTATTTCTGAAGCGCAAACCCTGCGATCTTAGAGTGAATGCTTACAACAGTACCCTTCTTCATGCATGGGCAGCTAATATTGACATTCAGTATGTATTGGATCCATATGCTTGTGCAATGTACATTGTCTCATACATAAGTAAATCCCAAAGGGGTATGAGTGATCTTCTGAGTAGAGCTGCCAAAGAAGCAAGAGAGGGCAATCTTGACATTAAGAGACAAGTAAGACACATTGGAAATCAATTTCTGAACAGTGTTGAAGTCGGAGCACAAGAAGCAGCATATTTGGTTTTGCAAATGCCACTTACAAAAGCATCAAGAGACGTAATGTTTATAAACACATCTCCAGTTGATGACCGTGTAATACTTGTCAAACCTGATTCAGAACTTGAAAAGTTGAATGCCAACTCCACAGACATAGAATGCAGTAATATAGTCAAAAGATATGCAAAACGTCCAAAACAACTTGAAAACTGGTGTTTAGCTGACTATGTATCACAGATAGATGTAGTTTTCCCAAAAGAAAATGTAACTCAGCTGTCTGAAATGGAAACAAATGATGATGAGACACACCAGTCAGAAAATGAAAACAGTGGATCTGATACTGAAAGTGAATTTAAAGATGATAGCACGTTAGTTGTGTTGAAAAATGGAATCAAAATCAAGCGCAGAAAAACGCCAAGAGTTATAAGATATGTGCGCTATAGTTTAAAGACAGACCCAGAAAATTACTATAGAGAAAAACTAATGCTGTTCACTCCATGGCGAAATGAAAGTTCTGATCTTCTGTGTGGACAGCAGAGCTTTGAGCAGTCATTTAACCTGAAGAAATTTTTCTTAGCTCAGAAAATCAGACAGTATGAACAAAATGCTGATGCGATTGAGCAGGCAGAACAGATGGCGCAAGATGATTTGACGGAAGCATATGATGAATTAGCTCCTGGTGCTCAACAATGTGAGGCAGATGATGAATATGAAGGAAATGTTGACTCTGAAAAATTTGTTCACTTTAATCCTGAAAGGCCAATTGAACAGAGAGAGTATGATATAGGAATTGATGTTGGAATTCCATCAACAAGACAACTGAGTGAGCAGAGTTCTGTTAGATTACCTGATGATGAGTATTTAAAGCTTGTAGCCAGTCTGAATTTGAAACAACGTGAATTCTTCAATCATGTTATGCAATGGATCAAATGTAAACAGGAACCTATTCATGCATATCTCTCAGGAGGTGCAGGCGTTGGAAAGTCAGTGTTAATCAGAGCACTTTATCAAGCTTTACATCGGTATTTATGTGCTAAGGAGGGAGAAAATCCAGACGATATACGAATTCTTCTTTGTGCATACACTGGTAAAGCTGCATTTAACATTGGTGGTCAAACAATTGCTTCTGCATTTCATCAGAAAATTAACCAAAGGCAGCAAAACATGCATTGTGATGAACTGAACACATTTAGAACTAAATACAGAAATTTGTCAATTGTCATCATAGATGAAATTTCAATGGTTGGCAATGCAAAGTTGGAATTCATCAACGATAGACTTCAGCTTCTTACTGGTTTGAAGAGGCCTTTTGGAGACATTAGTATTATTGCTGTTGGAGATTTCTTTCAACTGAAACCAATCATGGATGGATGGATTTTTCAGGATTTAAAACAAAATGCCCAAGCACTTGCATGTAATCTTTGGAAAGAAAACTTCACCTTATTTGAGTTAGATGAAGTAATGCGACAAAAGGATGATTTAGAATTTGCACAGCTTTTGAACCGTCTTCGTCACAATGAGATGACTTCTGAGGACTTGGATATAATTCACAAGTGCATCATTGCTGAAAATAGTCCAAATTATCCACACAATGCTCCCCATCTTTTCACAATGAATGCAAAAGTAGATGAATATAACAATAAACTTATAGAGCAACTTCCTGGTGAAAAAGTAATCGTGAAAGCTGTTGACAGTGTCCACCAAGACCACAGTAAGTCTGTGAAGGACCGACTACTCAGATCATTGCAAAATCAAGATGATGTAAGCAAAACTGCAAATCTCATGTCAAGACTAACCTTAGCCATTGGAATGATATATGACATTACAGTTAATATTGATGTTACTGATGGTTTGACAAATGGTTCATCATGTACTGTATTTCTTGTTGAAAACAGATTACCTGGTGTATCAAGGCCAAGTATAGTTTGGGTGAAGTTTTTAGATTCTACAGTAGGGAGAATTGCTCGACAGAAATACAGACATCTTTTCCATGATGATGTTATGGATGATTGGACACCAATATTTGACTGTCAGCGATCTTTTGTTTTCAATTCAACTACATATCAAAGAATACAGTTTCCTTTAAGACCAGCTGCTGGTAAGACAATTCATAAGGCCCAGGGATGCACTGTTGATGAAATTGTAGTAGATTTGTCTCAGACAAGGACGAGGAAAACACCACACATTCATTATGTAGCTCTAAGTAGAGTTAGGTCTGTTGACAAGTTGCATATTCTGAATTTCAATGAGCAAGCATTAACTGTTGATGAAAAAGTTGTAGAAGAAATGGAAAGAATGAGGAAGGAAGCACCTCTGAAACTGTGTTATCTTCCATTGTACAAAACGGAGCAGAACGAACTAAAAATTATGTTTCATAATGCAAGATCTCTTCACAAACATTTTGATGAAATTAAAAATGAACCCAATGTTGCAGCATCAGATGTTATTGGTTTTTCAGAAACAAGATTAACCATCAATGATGAACAGAATTTTATGATGGAAGGTTACTTGACTTTGTTTAATCATGAAAAGAGAAGTGACAGCAATCGTCCTCATCATGGAACAGCATTATACGTTAAACAAGACCATTTGATGTCATGTATCTCAAAATTCAGCAACACTTTGCTTGAATTCATCATAGCTTTAATAAATTTCAGAGACCTTGGAGAAGTGCAGATAGTTGTTTTATACAAGTTCCCAGCATGTTCTTTTAAAGAATTTGAACGTGAAGTTATGTTGCACTTAAAACCTTTTGTAGACACAGAGAAAAAATTGATAATTCTTGGAGATTTCAATTTTGATTTGTTTACAGGTCACAAAGAATTTCTGAATTTTATGAAGTTGAATTTAAAATGCACACAGTTGGTAAAAAAGGCAACTCATGATTCAGGTTCACAACTTGATTTGATTTTCGCAAACTTCCCTCATTGTGAAACTGATGTGATTGAGGCATATTGGTCAGACCATAAAATGGTTTACTGTACATATACTTTGTAAATATGATATAAGGGACGCATTAATACTTATTTGGGGGAGATATGTCATCTTGTCCCCTCTCCCACCTACCAATGTGTCAGTGTCACTTAGTGACATTTGGTACATTGATTACTGTATACAGGGTTATATTCGCCCTGGTTGTGTTATTTTTACCCTTTCACACAATTTTGCAACGTTTTAAATTTTCCCCAGTCACAGTTTTATTGAAGAAATCACACTGTTCTTTTAATTTACCCTGTTTTAACATTGTTTACCTCTAAGATGGATGACAGGGGAAAAATAAAATGGGGGGAATATCTCCCTGTATACAGTATCTTATAGGCACCAATTACTTGATGTAAAATTTTGTTTGTTTTTCGGCATATGTATACTTTATACTATTTTTATATGCATGCATGGAATAGCCTAAATAATTTGCCTTATTAATGATTACAAATCAATTGGACTAAACAGGAATCGTTCATTATGACTTTTTATTATGGATTAATTTTCAACAGACAATTAATAAATGTACAAAATACTTGTATGTTGCATATTAAGGAAAATTCATGTACCATGAATGACAATTATTCATGACAAAAAAAATGATGATCATTGTATTATGTGTTAATTTATTTAATTATGTATATACTGTATTGATGTGTGAGTTATATAGTTTTACCCTTACTGTTTAGATTCTTTAATGATACATGAATATCATGAACTTGGTATTTTGAATATACAGGAAAATTTTAAGATTACATGAATTGTTTACAAAGTTTAATTTAAAGAAATTAATGAGTTCTGCTAAATATAATGATTAGAGTTGTACTAGAAATATATATTACACTTGCATCAAGTAATTGGTATCTTTGATATATGTTTAATACTGTATTCTATAGTTTAATGAAGTAAATTCCCCAAATATCATCTGTTCATGAAAAAATTGCTGTATAGAATTAAATATTGTAAGTTTATTAATGTTAGTACTCTACTGTGTCTAAATTGTGTCATTTATTCCCTGCAGAACAATACTGGAGTACAAGAAAATATAAACTTTTACAGTGTACATGAATTAATATATTTTTTCAGAGCAAATGTAATAACAATTGCAGTGCATGTCAATATTCTTATCATACATATAATTCAAGTCTTTATGTAATTACTTTATAATCAACCTCATGCAGCATTGTAGATATCACAATTGCTGAGGCTTTAAACAGGCTGGGTGGTCAACAAATTAACCAATAGATGCACCTGAAAATGAAATACTTGCAAATGTTCACATACTATATTTATAAGCCATTATCTATGATTTTTTTATAAAGCTCTCAGAAATTAGTTTAATGCTGATGACCATCCAGCATACTTATTTATTTTTATTTTATTTAGACTTGTAGCTGAATTAGAATTTGATACATTTTGAAAGCACAGCTCAGTTAGAGATTTTATATATATCATTTGATTCTTTTTGTTTTTAAATAATGTTCATGGAATATATCGAATTTTGTGTTGAAATATTTTGACTTGATTATTTATCTTTTTGATTTTTTTGACTAAAAATGTTAAGTTTATTGTAGTTTGTATTTCAAAACATTAAGAAATTGCTTTAAACATTTACTTTTACTAGCTTATGTTACCTGTGTAGAAAAGGGAAGTAACCTGCATAATCAGAGAGAAACTGACAACTCATTATAAGTTACTAGTATATTGCTGATTTCAGTTAACTCCATATTAATTGATGTTTTATTTTCTCCAGCATTGAGATATTTAATATGTGACCACCATTATATTATAATCTAATGAGAATCGACTATATATTAAACACTTATACCCAGGTAAGTATGAAAAGAGGGGGTCAATGGCCAGCCCGTAAAGGGAGGTAAACCTACCTCTTTATAACACTACAATTTTTCTTATAAAAGAGAGGAAAAGGTGGATCACTATAATTTCTCATGACTGGTCTTTAAATTCAAAATTATTGATTGCAAAAACAGTCTTAATCATTCCATTTTGGAATATTACCATCAAGTTTAGGTAATCTGATTCCTGCAGGTACTCTTAGACTAATTAAATGTTACTTATGAAAAATTCTTTTAATATAGTAGTTGATATTCAAAGTCAGAGTCTGTTGATCATCATATAATTATTCACTTCAGTTGCAATCTTTCCAATTTTCGCTTTCGTTATTTATAGGAAAGATTTACTATTAAGTGAACTTAAAAATGAATATACAGTGTATTTCGTATCTTTCAAATGAATGACTTTGATGTATTCAACTTTCCTCTAAACAAATGTTTGATATGTTTACAAAGCATCTATGTTTAGATGTAATGTCAAGAAGTTTTGCATTTCTGTCACAAAATTGTTGCTATATAATGCATATTTGATACTTTGTGCATACATTTATATTGAAGTCTTAGAAAATTTAGATAGTTGATTTTTATTAATGCTTTTTAGTTTTTATTATATTATCTACTAATGTTGTCAGATAATTTTTCAACAAATTTGTTCAGTTTTGTAAAGAAATAAATGTTAAGTCTTATTCACATTTTCTGTTTTTATTATAAGTATCATAACTAATGTTACACCCCCTAAAAGGAAAGATATGTTTTTATTCAATAAAAGCATATTACACTTCAGAGTTGATAGTTCAAGTGCTATATTCTGCAGAAATACTGAGATTGACCTCTTTATGACTAAATTGTTAATGAGATAGGCATTAAGCACTGCTTGAAAAGAAAACCATTCTTAGCAATTTTATGCTTAGATCAAGCCCAATTACAGTAAATGAATAGAAAGAGGAAGTCCATACTCTAACATCTACATGCATAATTCTTGCAAGTAAAGGTCTTTTACTCAGGTGAGCGATGTGGCCCCTGGGCCTCTTGTTGTTAAAAAGCATGATGTTCGAGTTCCATATGTTTTTCGGGTGTATTCTTCATATTTTTTACTTCCATGTGTTCTCCATCTTTGCTTGATAAAGAAAAACAGAAAAAAGTTTGATTAAAATGCGGTGTATGTCCACACAACAATGTGAAAGTGAAGCTGAAATGGCCCAAGCTGGTCGTAGTTGACGAGAGTTCTGTTTTCTTTCACTGTATGACTTTTTTTTTTACTTAAAACCTTTATAATTATCGCCCGAAAAACCTACAAAGCATACCTGAATTCCTTTTAATCGTAATAAGACATTATTTAGCTTTTGTTAGCAAGACACAGGCACCTTCGGTAGGCCCCCTTGTCATCCTAATATCAACCCTAACTTACATGTATGGAAGAAGATAAACCGGAGTTTAAGACAGCTTTTCCAGCAGCAGAATCTAACGGAACTAGAGAACGACCTAGTCTCCACATGGAAAAACATTCAATAAAAAGAATTTTTCTTAAATAGTGTAAACTCTTTCTGTGAATTAGTTTGAATGGAGGATATTGCAGTATCTAACGTTGTGAATTTTTAATTCTACGGTGCCTTAACATTTCTGCATATTGTGATAAAGTGCTTCAATAAAATAAATTGAGAAAATATTGTATTACTACTTTTTTATCCCGTATACTTATTAAATTATACTGTGAAAATAATTCAATATAAGAGCTGTGTAAAGCAAAAACTTGCCCGGGGACTTAGAAATTTTGACTAGTATAGTTTTATCGTGTCCGTCTGTATGTCTGTCCGTCTATCTGAAGGTCTGTTTGTCCGAAAAACTTTAACCTTGACCATAACTTTTCATTTAATGGAGCTATGACTTTCATATTTGATATGTGTATTCCTTGTGAAACCACTTACTTTGGGTTTACCTTGGAGTTTGTCCAGTTTTACACAAAATGCCAAATTTTTACTTTGGCCATAACTTTTAAACGGTAGATACTAGTACTGTCATACTTCACATATGTTTTTTTTTGGCATGCCTTTCATTGGATACTAGAAACTTTGACCTTTTGACCTTGAACTTGGAGATTTCCGTACTTATGAAAAAATACTTTAACCTTTGCCATAACTTTTGAACAGTAAGGGCTAGGGTTTTCATACTTCACGTAATCCTTGTTACATTAAACCTTTTTTAGAAACCATCAACTTTGACCTTTGACTTTGACCTACCTTTCAAAGACTTATCCTTAGCCATTACTTTTGAACAAGTGGTGCTAGGGCTTTCCTATTTTGCAATTGTATTTCTTGTGAGAAGACCCTACTTTGGGTACCAATATTTTTAAATTGCATTTAAGAAAAGTTTAATCTTCGCTATGTTGCCATACAGGGGCATAGCTGTTTCACAAACATCTTTTTATATATAAGAGGAGTTTGCGGATAAGAGATGGATAACCCAAAGCGTAACAGACGGACGGACGGACATCCCGATCACTATATACCCTCCCGCTTTTCAAGCGGAGGATATAATAATATAAAATATAATACTTTCATGTAAAATAGTTGAATCTGATTGATCAAAAAACATTTGTTAAAAAACACTATTACCCGCTGATTAATGAATCCAAGCCCTCCAGCGTAGTAGCAACAGTCAACATTTCTTG